TGTCATCTTGCTATTTAGAGATGTCACAATCTCATCAATCATTGATACCTTTTTTTTTTTTGGTACCGGGGATCGAACTCGGGTCCTTGCACTTGCACAGCAGGCGTCAAAACCACTGAGCCAAATCCCCGGCCCATTGACATTTTAATTCTGACCTTTGGCATAGGGAATTCTGTCTCTGTACACCAGCTGAAGGTTCATTTTATTTAGCAAGTCACACATAAGCCTTGGAATGACTCATAATTTTAATCAGTAGCCAAATTATAAGTCAATTCAATAATATTAAAACCTGCTTAGTACTGCTGGTCTCCTACAGCAGCAGTGACTGTATAAACTTTTACTATATGGCCCTTTACATAAAATGTTTACTAATCAATGGTGCAGAGTATAGGGTTTCCTGGCCTCTTGAGACAGGTGGAAGATGATGGTGAATCAACGTCAGTTTGGTCCAAAACTTCATAGTATAGAGATGTTAAGTATTTTTAAAATACCTTTTTCAATAAGTCCTTTTCAGAATTAAACATTTGTCATTCCCTCATTCTCAGATCCTTTCATTTGTTTGAGTCCCCTAGAACTTAAAGAGGGAGCATAGTATTCACCATTTCAAGAATAAAATTGATCAAGAACTTTTTTTTTTTAATTGGGAAGCTTTCCATGTCCACTCTTCTTCAGAATGTGTAGTAGTTAAGTAATTAAATACTGACCATGGTGGGTTAGATTGAGGGGGAAGAGGAAGGTATTTGTTGAGGGTACATGAGTGTGGTTGCCAGTTCATATAGATTAATGGATACAGTTTAAAAACCCTTAGGTCAGGCCAGGGATTTAAGCTCAGTGGTTCCACTGCTTGCCTTGCAAGTGCAAGGTCCCAAGTTTGATCCCTGGTACAAAAAAACCCAAAAAACAGAAAATCTTAGGTCCACTATTAATTTAGTAAAACATAGGGTTGCACTTTGGGCTAATATACTTTAATGTTTTATTTGTTGAGTTCAAGTTGTTACTTCCGCTAAAACCTTGAATGATTTTCAATTATATTTTTATTCATATTTTGATTAAGTAGATACTACAGTGTTCTAATGATGCTATTCATAAATTTACCAATTCATTTGTTACTTTGTTTTTATTGTTTTTCAGAACTTAAATAAACAGTCCTTCGACCTTGCAAAAGTCCTCTTAAAGAGGACAGTTCAGACTATTGAGGCGTGCATTGCCAATGTATGTATTTCTTTCTATATTTGTTCTATAATTGTGTAATTCTTTATCCATTGTATTAATTTATTAGAACTTAGCACATACATATTTATCTAATAGACAATTTTATCTAGAGCAAATATAAAAAATTTTTTGTTGTTGTTTAAATTCTTTTATTGGTACATTTTAGGTATACAATACATTTACATTTATCATTGGGTGCTTGTCCCTGTACATGATATATCTTGGTTCTTACTTTTTCCCCATTCCCTGTGCTCCCTTCCCTATTTACAAAGACTTTGTTTCCATTTTTTCCTTTTCTCATAATTTTTCCTTTCCTTTCTATCCTTTCCCCTTCCCGTCCCACTTCCCCTACTCCTTTGGACTTTTTCTTCCTATTTCAAATTTTCAGTTATTCATTTTAATCATTTTAATCCTTATTTACACTTTCAGTTTCTCACACTATTCGGTATTTACACGTGTCCTCTTTATTTCACTTAAGAGTATTGCCTCAATATGCAACCATTTAGCTATAATTGTCTCTAGTTTCTCGTTCTTTATGGCTGAGTAGTACTCCATTTTATAAAAAAACCACATCTTCTTTATCCATTTTCCAGTTGATGGGCACTTGGGCTGTTTCCAAGCTTTAGCTATTATAAACTGTGCCGCTATAAACGTGGGTGCACATATATTGCTGTGGTACGATTCTTTTAATTCTTTGGGGAAGATACCCAGCAGGGGAATAACTGGGTCAAAAGGGACCTCTAGCCCTAGTTCTTTGAGGTCTGTACTCCCACCAACAATGGAAAAGGGTTTCTTTCTCTCCACACCCCCACCAGCATTTGTTATTGGTTGATTTCTTCATAGAAGCCATTCTTTCAGGGGTGAGGTGGAATCTCAGTGTTGTTTTCATCTGCATCTCT